CATAAACAGAAGGTGAAAGCATAGTGCCACCAAGCTTAACTCTTCCACTCTCATCTTCCAAAACCAAATAATCATCTTGATGCATAAAATTATGAGGTTTTACAAGAGGGGCAGTAGATCTCTGAAAATTACAGCAACAAATTTAGAAGTCAAATAATATTGAATTCCACATCTGAATTTCAAGATACAAAATGAAATAAAACCAACGCAAATGGATTGCATCCATTGACAACCATAATACCTCCTTAGAATATTCATCAAGAATGCAAGGTTTGAGTTTCATGTGCTTGTAAAGGGTCCCAACAATGATGCATTCTTTGCCTTCTTCTAGCCCCAAAACTGTACAAACTGCAAAAACGCAATCCAAAGAAATAACTTTTAAATCACTAAAACTTGATCAAACTACTAGTTTACTCAAAACGTCAACATTGTGAGGACTGGCTTGGTTCTTAGTGCTTCAAAATTCTACATGAAAAACTAAAACAATGTAGAAAACAGAATCCCAAATACACACAAATGATATTAATAGCAAGCTCGCCGTAAAAGTAAGCAATTAAAACCTAGTGAGTTATCAGAATTCAATTTTCCCAAAATACACGCTGTCACCTTGTACAAGTTTTTGAATTGGAAATCCACTATCATCAACTAGCCACCCACCACAATGCAAGTATTTAAAACATTACCTTCCAATACTAATCACCTCAAAACCTCCAAAATGAGTCCATATAATCACCAAGCAAGCTCACAACCAATTAAAAGCCAAAACCAAAAACTTTTCCCGTACTATTGAACTAACATAGGCCTGACAAAACCTTAAAACCCGATGAAATTGCAAATTACACTATTTATTTAACATAAATAGCGATTAAAACAGCCAAAAGTGACCCACATGAACAATAAAAACAAATTGAACAAATACTTCCAACTAAATAACCTCACCAAAATTGAGCAAAAAAAAAAAAAAACCTCACCAAAGCTGCCTACCCAAAAAACTAAATTCATAAAGCACAGTGCAGCGACCATACGTAATTAAACCCAGCAAAAAAGAAAAAATAATTTTGACCCCAGAAAAAGAATGCTAAACATTGGAAGCTTTTGATTCTAAAACAAATAAAATAATACTAAAAGATAGGTCACCGGGGAGATGGGATTTCCAGTTGGGAGCAAGGGAATAAAGCAAAGTTCTCATCATGTGGAGACGAGCAAAGTAAATTTGACTGTACTGTTGGCCTCTGTAAACTTCGTTCTGAATCTCGAAATTCTCATCCTACAACACCCTCACCCCAAAAATAAAATAAAATAAAAGCCATTAATTCTCTTCAAAATGTGATGAGATTTTAGAATATTACAGAAAAAATGGAGCTGAAAAGAATGGTAAAAGAAAAGAGAATAACTAACCAACGAGAGGTAAGCAGATTGCTTTCTCTGCAGCTGCTTTTGCGAGTCGACTTCCGTGGCTTCCATGGCGGGAAAATTAGAGATGGAGGCCGAAATCTTACATGCATCTGTCCTCAGCGGACAGATATTATAGATCCCAGGTTATCTTCAGTAAAAATAAATACTTCCGAAAGGTAATTTAGTAGGCATGTCGCTCAACTGTTACAGCCCTCGCCTTACATGTTAGGGGGCGAGGTTCGATGCCCGCAAGCTTCTTGTTTCTTGCTTACTTTAATTGAGTTTTAGTTACTATATCAATAAAATAACATTAAAAATATTTTTATTAAATTATAAAAGTGTGACATCAAAATATGCACTTAATTAAATAAAATAAATACATGATTAAATAATATATTTAAAATATTTTATCATTGTATGATTGATAAAATCACAATAAATTTTTTAATAAAAAATTACTCTTGATTAATTATTAATCTTGTGATGATCAAAAAAATCTTTTTTTTTAAGTACATAATTTTATTACTAGTCATCATAGTCAAAATAAATTATGGCTTTTATGAGTACAAAATGAAAATAAAGTATAAAAATTAAAACCCCAAGACATATGGACAAATTAATTGGTGTCCACGTTTTCAAAAAAAAAATGGTATCCACATACAACCTTGTTTGAATAAATCAAAAAAGAATATTTAATTATCGCATCAACTCTATCTGCACACCAACCTAATCCCCACAAAACCCCCCCTAATCCATGTTTATTTAAATACAACAAGCAACCGCCTATTTGAACACAAACTCAACAATTTAAAACTATTTGATTATGTATATGAAACTTAGAGATATAAAACTCTATTCTTTAATCTAAATGAACTTTTCAACCTACCATCCAGCCTCCTAGGCTCTTTCATCTACATTCTTATTTCAAATCGAATTCCATCCCCATTTAAAAACTCCTAAACCACATCAACCCCTTATCATTTGCTATCTCCATCTTGTTCATATCTCTAGCTTTTACCAATAGATCAGCTTCTTCATTAGCTTTATCTTCACACGTTAAAACTAGACCTTTTCATTGTAACCATCATTTAAATAAAATTTTCTTTGAAATTCTCAAATGCCAAACTAACCAAATTACCAACATCTCGACTTATTTCAGCTTCCATCAAGTTAGTATCAAAGCTTAGGATGAGAAGAAAGATATTGATTCGAGTCCTATATAGATTCATCAATAACTTCCTTCACCCATTGATTGCTCTGCAAAACGTTATCTCTTTTAATGTTTGACAATTTGTTTTTATTGGAACTTTTCTTACCTCTAGGTCTCCTAGGTCTTTTGATTATACTTTTATCCTCCACCTTATCTCTTAACTCAACATCATTTTCATAAATGTTACCTCTGATATGAATTATAACTTGCAATTTATCGTCTCTAATTTAGTCTTTTTTTCTTTTGAAGTTGCAAACAAGTCAACAATCTCTTCACCACAGATATTATTTTTGTATTATCATATTCACCTTTTCTAAACTAGATAACCATGTGTTACTCGATGTAAAATTCTTGAAAGAGACCTTATCCAAAGCGCAAAAATTCTAAATTTAAAGGACTCAAATTTAAAGGACTCTTATCCAAAGCACTTTACATAATTAAATTCTCTCTCTTCATTACAGACTGTAATAGCATTATTTCCCAAACATTCCTTATTATTTGGATTTGGACTTTTATCCCAACATTTACTACCCTTTTTTCACAACAGTCCATTCCGACATTCCCTCCTTCATTCACACTATTTGAAAAGTCCTTCCCAATGACATTGTTTTCAATACCACTTTCAATAAATGTGTTTGAATTTGAACGATTTTGTTTGAATTCCAATAGTCTTTCTCCATCTTATCCCCAATTTAAAAATTGAATAGATTTAAAATTTAAATCTCACTATACTCTTGAATCATACTTGAATTTTGAACCATCCTACTACAGATAATCATGTAAAAATACTTTTTCACCAATATATCATTCTAATTACCATCATTATCAGATTTATGTCGAATCCCCCTCATAGGACCCTAGCCCATTCTTCCAGCTCTTGTTTATTTCACACTATTGTTTTCATACTTTTTTTTAAATAAAGGAATGAAGGTGGAAAATATGTAACATAAAAACAACACACTTAATTAAATAATGTGCTTCAAATATTTACTTCTTCTATATGTGATAAGCTGATTTTATTCGAAATGATAAGATCCATGAAGATTATATTCGTGCTTAATTTCATTTATTTATTAAGTATAATATTTTAAGTTATGGGGTAAAAAACATCTTTTCAATAAAGAAATAAATCATTTATCATTGAACAAAATGTTTTAGTGCTAATTTCATATTATGCCTTATGTTCCACTTTATTAATCTAATAAAATAGTAAACTCTTTAAAAGTTTATTTGATTGTATCATTAATGATATGGTTAATATTAACAACCAATAAAAATATTAAATTGATGTTAATTACTAATATGTAAATAGCATTGTCAATGTTGTCATGATATATTGATATTAATGTGTATATTCAAATATAAAAAAATTAAAAATTATTCAAATGAGTAAATTTTGTCTCAGAGCAACGTATTGACAATGTGTTGACAAAATTATATTATATTTATTACTTTATACTAAATTAAGATCCCAAAGGGCTTAATTGGGCAACAAATATCATATAATTTGGTCCTTAAGCTTTACTTTAATTTACTAAAGAAAAGAAGGAAATAAGAAAAAAGGGAAAAAGAAAATAACATAAAAAATTATAATTAAATAAAATAAAAGTGCAGCATAAAAAAATACAGTTAATAAAATAAAATAAAATATATGATTAAATAATATATTTAAAGTATTTGAATATTACATAATTGTTAAAATCATATATAAATTTTTAAATAAAAATATGCATCAATTAACTAAAATTTCATGATAATAATTAAATATAGGTAAATATTAAAATTAATTTTCTTTTTTTATTTTCTTCTAAAAAAACTAATTATTTTATTTGTATACGGTAATGTAATATGCTTCCATGTTTATTTAAATAGATTAAAAAAATATTTATTCAATATTATTATTTTGATAATTTTAAAAAAATGAAAGTGAAAAATGTGTAACATAAAATAATACACTTGATCAAATAAAATATTTAAAATGTTTACTTATTTTATATATAATATACTTATAAAGAAATGTATGATGCATGAAAATCATATTCATGCTTAACTTTATTTTTTTGGTAAATATAATTTTGACATTGACGATTTGAAACTGACTTTCTACTAGAAGGATGCATACATTTATAATTAAAAAAATATTTAAATGCTAATTTCATCTTTTCTTTTACATTTGACTCTGTTGATTATAGATAAAAGTAAACTATTTAAAAGTTAATTGGTTATATTAACAATAATGTGATTAATAAGAACACAAAATAAAATTATTAAATTGATATTAATTAGTAATATAGAAATAATATTATAAATATAAAAATATTTTAAAAGAAAACAGTATTTATAATAATATTATTTTTTTTTCGCAGCGTAGAAAAAGTTCGGTTTCCCGACCCCAACGGTTATTGGAGGCACCAATTGTTTTTGACATAAAAATCTCTCTTTCACAGAGACGACGAAATTCATTCTTTACTCTTTCGCTTCACAATAAACAAATAAATAAAAGAAACAAAAAAGGAAACCCTTAGAAAAATTTCCATTTCATTAATGGCGTCTCTGCAAGGATCGTTTTCTACAATTTCGGCGGTTCGCTCGAGCTTCTCTTCCTCGTCTTCGTCGTCTTTGGCGGGAGTTTCTTTCGTCAGACGGCCGGAGTGTGACCGTAGGAGATCCGGCGACCGGAGAAACCGTCTTAGAATGCCGTGTAGAGCAATGGTGCAGCAAGCAGTGCAGGGAGGAGCTCCGGCTACTTATGCCAAAGAGATGGAGCGACTTTCCGCTAAGGAATCTCTTCTTCTTGCTGTGAGTTTCCCCTTATTTTTTGACTTTTTCTCTAATATAATTATTAATCATTTTATGGTTATAGAAATTGTCCAAAGAAATAAACGATTTAAGAATTTTGAAGTGCTTTTCAGTTCTGACCAAATTTTGATCCGAAGGAAAGTAATTTCCCTATTAATACACTTGGCATTTTTTTTATGAATAATTCAAATCTGTTTCAGTTAGGTGCCTAGTTTCTGCCTAGGAATTGCTTTTTCTTGCTATTGCTAAAGGGTTCGTAAATAGTTTCATCTTTTCTATTTCCAGGACCGGCAAAAATGTTAATCTTGATTTCCGAGTGATGAGGGTAATTATTTGGCATTTTGGTTTAGTACTTTAGTTGAATGACTGTAATTATTACTTGAAGGGAGAAGAATACAGTAGTATAGTTTTGAAGTTTTGTATGCGGAAAACTATAACCATCATTTGAGATCTCTTTAATTTAGTTCCATTTTCATGTATGACATTTCCATTTCTATTGTAACATAGTACCCTGGGACTTTAACAGAAGTGTGTCAATGTCATCCTTTCTTCTGTTATGCACTAAGACTTGTCATGGAAATGGTCACATAAGCAACAGAGGCGTGCTCTGTGGCAAGTGTAAGTTAGAAAAAAATAGGGTAAATTACACACGTCATCCATGATTTTTTTTATATAATTTCATTTTTATTTATTAACAACTTGGAGTTTTACATATTTCCCATAATTCCAATAATCCATCTCTTATGAACTCATGATTTTGTGGTGCGAATTTATAAGAAAATTACATTTATAAGTTTGTGAAGGTACTTCTTGAAATTTTGTAAAAATGGCGAGTCTAGAGAGAGTAAGTGAGAACAATGGGTTGATTGAATAACAAAAAGAGGAAAATCAGAGTAAAATCAGGGCTGTACTATTGTCAGCAGTGAAGTCAATTAATTGATGCCAGTGACTGCTATGGAGGACAAGGAAAAGTAGAGGGGTTTGGATTTGTGAAACTACTGAGAAAGACTGAAAATGTGCAAGAAAAGTGCAGAAACACAAGAAAAAGAAAGGAAGAAGAAGGAAAGGATAAAATGAATGATAAGTACTCTGGCTGACGTGGTGCTTATGTGGCTGTCACATCAATACTTATTTGGGCATTTATATTAAAAGTTCCATTCTTTTCCCAAAAAGAACCAAATGATGGATAGCATTAAACCACTTGTGAAAGGTCACAATGTATTATGTTATAACTTATTATGATATAATTGCACAAACATGCAAGGGATGATAGGTGCAAGTCACCTATTTTTGACTTGCCATACTTCTCAGTTCTCACATGGTAAGACACTTTTTCTTATGTGACTATTTCTATCAACTTTCTGAAGTCTGATCAATGAAAGGATGAAATTGACACATATGAAATGCCATGAAATAATATTAGACTGACTGTCACGGATGATGGGTGTAATTCATTCTATCTTATTCTTCTTCAATTTCAAAACTGGTCTACATTCATATTGTCGATCAGTTATCGTTCAGCTAGAATGCAATCTGATAATAAATTTTTTCCTGTTGTGAGTCAACATATTTTCCTATAGGTGATGGTTTTTATTCAGTTGTAATTGATTATTCACAGTTCAAGTCAGTACTACTAGCTTGAGGAAAAAGAACTTTGTCAGCATACAAAGCTAGATGTTTTCAATGAATTTATGTCACTTAAAGATTGAGTAATATAACTTATCCATTGATTTGGTGAGTATTCCATGAGTATATGTGTATTGTTATGCACCTTCAAGCTTGGCCTTTCATGTTTACTTTTGCATTAAATGTTGTTTCAGTTTAAGGATGCTGGGGGTTTTGAGGCTTTAGTCACGGGAAAGACAACAGATATGCAACGAATTGACGTGAATGAGAGGATAACTGGCCTTGAGAGGCTCAATCCAACACCGAGGCCAACAACGTAGGTGCTTGGTTAAACAATGCCTTTTTGCGTGTTCACCTTTTGCATAAGACTCTTATTAGTTTATATAGCTTTCCAGGTCTCCCTTTCTGGAAGGTAGATGGAACTTTGAGTGGTTTGGATCCGGAAGCCCTGGACTTTCTGCTACTAAAATCTTATTTGAGTGAGTGTCCTTTGATAGCTTGATGATCTCCATTTTTCTGATCGACTAGCAGCTGATCTTCTTGGTGACTCCTTTGTACTTTTTCAGGAGATTCCCTTCGACGTTGGCAAAATTGTCAAAGATGGATTTGCTTCTTAAGGATGGATATGCAAAGGTTACAGCACACTTGACACTGCTTAACTCGGTAAATATGTCCTTGGCATCTTTATGTGCTCTACTATGAAACATTCACATATGAATGTTGCATGTCAACAGCATCGCTATGATCTTCAATTTGAAGGCTCTGGCTTGAACTATATATTGATGTTCAACGTCTGTATGCATCATCTTCCTTTAATAAATCATACATACTAGTATATCAATTCTCAGATTGGATTAATTCCCTTTAAGAAAAAGGGGTGTTAGCCAACCGCATGAAGTATGCGGTCTCAATTCGGAATTTCTGTACAACAACATCTGGAATGTGCTCCCACTTCTTGACACACCTTGAGCATTAAGTAAAACATGAATAGGTTCTGCTAATTTTTGTGCAATGGAAGTGGTGTTGAATCCATGTGGAGAAAATATGATATAACCTGGACCGTTATTGCTAATTGAAGTAGTTTGTTTTTCCTTGAGTATCATGGAAGTAGGTAAAGATTATGTTTGTCATATTATTCAACTGAAAGACATTGCCCCTAGATTGAACTGGATGGATGAACCTCTTAAATTTTCATGGATATCATTATTAAATTAATGGGATCAGGTAATCTGAGACCACTATTTTCAGGCCACTTAAAAGTGTTTATGCTAACTAATTTTGCTTGAGCTTCGCAACTATTAATATTGGTTTTTACTCGACTTTATTGTTTATGTTCAAAATGTTACTGTTTAAAAGGTGGGTGGGCTCTTATTTGTGTGAGATTTGGCACCATTGGTAGGGGGTCCACTGATTAAAGAGGATTGGAGCAATAATGTGTACAGAAGATTCTTATTTAGAAGGTTTTGTCTCTTAATTTTGTCGCTGTAAAATTTAAATTACTGGAGATGGATTTTAGAATTATTGCCTTTATTTCTTTGTTTTTCATGATCATCTCAACCTTGGTGCAATGATAAGATTGCTCCATTGAGACTTGTGGACTATGTGTCCAATATGTGGAAAGCAGAGGTGAAGTTGCATACGTTTGGACCCTCCTTGGACATTGTGGTAGCCTTTGCTGGCTGCGCAATGGAAGTATTCACTCTGCTAATTTCTAATTTGAATTTTGTTGTTGGCTTGTATTGCATACAACTTTATAAGTTTCTCTAATTTAGAAGTGGAATAAATGCTGTTTATTCATTTAGCATTTAAGTTTTCTGTTTTTAAACTGCTGTTTGAATTTTAATCCAAGAGTTACGCTAACTCTGATTGAATATCTCTCTCAAGGATTAGAGTTATGAATAGCCACTTTTTTAACTTTTGCTAACCATAGTTTATCTGAGTACTAGGAAAAACTTCCTTGTTACAAAAGTTTCTAGTGATTTGAGGTTATCTTTGGTGGAATGCAGATAGAAAGCAAATGTATTCTTTCCACCAGGGTATCTGTTGAGGGGCCACTACGAATGAAAGAAGAATATGTTGAGGGGATTCTTGAATCACCAACTGTTGTTGAAGAAACAATACCAGAACAGCTAAAAGGTGCATATAGTCAGGCAGTTAATACCGTCCAGCAACTTCCTGTTCTTATTAGGGATGCAGTGGCCAGTGGACTGAGAGTTCCTCTGAGTAAGCATTTCAAATTTTCTTCCCTTTGATAATATAGCTGAGAGCAATATAAACTGTTAATGTACATAATAATACAAGACCAAGCTGAAATGACCACAAAAGACCTAATTGAAAGCTAATCTAAGCTGGCATTCTGAGAAACAGTATGCTTGCTTATGTTTTTCTGAATCAATAGTGTAGGCCATGGCCATATGACCCTCATGGATGCTAGGTATTAATGTCACTTTTGTCATTGTGAGATGTCCCTGTTTGCACATGTTCACAGTAATAGTGCAATAGGCATGCTATGAAGTATCTGAAAAAAATATTGTAAATGACCATTCCTTTTTTCCATTTTATAAGGCTCTTAATATTTAAATCAGAGATTGAGAAAGTAAACATGTGGTGTTTAAAAAAGGCTTTGGAAGGCGCTTATTGGATTTTTTATAGTTATGATAACTCATAATTGATGTATTTTTTTTAAAAATTTTTTAGAAGAGAAAGCAGTTGATTATTTAGAAACCATTTTAGAGCTTCATATATGAAACGGGATTCTTTCTTTCAAGAGCAAAGGACATGGGAACTTAAAAATGCTGAACTGCATGTCAGTGTGGCCCATAATATTCTTATTATAGGTTGGTTATGGATGTATAACACAGCTTTTTGTAAAACTCTATCAAGGTTATTGGGCAGTTGGGTGGGCTGTGTTTCTACATCAGGATAAAAGGCCCAGATATGATGATAATCCATACATGCTTATATGGCTTTATTGTGGGTTTTAAACAGAAATAACGAATCCAATTGATTAATTCATTCCATGTAGTGGAAAAATATTACCAGCTGATTGTGATGGCTGCTGGCCATTTTGTAATCTTCTGTCAGATTAAAAAAGAGTACGGTAAATGACTGGTTATGTTTGTGAGTTACACTCTGTTGTTTTCTATAATCCCCCTGGAAAAATTTAGAGTTGCCATGTAAGCTGAGCTGCTTACATACCCCTCATTTTCTCATTTTGGGATCGTTTGGACAGTGCCCAGTCTTTCAGTTGAACTTTTGGCTGGTTGGTGTGGGAGGTGTAGTTGGGAAAAGGGATTGTTGTTTCAGGCAATTCTTATCTTAGTGGATATCTTGCAGTTGACTTGTAAGCCCAGTCAGTTGTTTGAGGACATCAAAGGGTAGGCAAACACAACAAAGTCAGAGATCTTCAACAAATTGTTTTTCTAGATCTCAGTATCTTGCTTGTTTCTTATCTTTTTGTTTTTAGTTTTTGTTGTAAAATTATATGATGCAATTTCAGAAGTAGATTGTTTAAATGCTTTTTCCTTTGAGGGAAAACAATTTTTGAATTTCACAATTTACAAAGTCAAATTAAAGGATGTTGTAAACTCACCGCTCTGGTCTCCCCTCCTCCGAAGCCTGGCTCCGCCCCTTCCCTTGTGAATGCTTCAACAAATGGGTTACACTTACTACTCATTAATAAAATTGTTACTTATGAGCAAAGAGAAGAACCAATCCATTTGCTGTGGAATCATTGCCTATTTGATGATAAAGAATCAGTTCCATCAAAGGATCCTATTCTAATTTTGTCATCACTTGTGACTTTGTTTGCAACTTTCTTCAGTTGTCCCATCCTGGATTATAAATGTGTTAAGGGTCAAATAGTACAGAAAAAGTTCATGATTTAGGGTAAATTACGTATCTTTTTGTTTGGTATTCAACTCTTTTATGAATCTGAGCTGGAGTTTCTTGTGTTTCAAGGTGGGACTTTCCAGAGACTGTTCATGATTTCTTATCTTGATGAAGAGATCCTTGTAAGTTAATGTTTGTACTTTGTGGTCTTTGTTTCTTTTGATTTTGGAATTTTATTTACCCTTTCTGGGCCTTCAGGTTGTTTTCTAGATAATTCATTGTTAAAGTAGACAATAACATAAGATATAATGAGTTCACCACATAGATGTAATTAGCAATTAATGTAGGTGACAAAAGGTCTGAATGGGTCATTTCATACCTTGAGGAAAATGGAATTATACCATAGTTTTTTTTTTTTCTTTTGAGGAACTTATGAATCCATTAGAGTTGAGCTGTTTGATAAGAAAATGGACTTTTTGGTGTAACCCAAGTAGCATAGTCTTTTTGTAAGCCTCTACTTTGGATTAGCTAAGTGATTCACCTTTTGTATTTTAGTTTATTAGTTGCCATCTGTTATTACGTCCTTTCTCATTAGCTCTATTTACTTCTTGATTGATCTGGGGCTCGTTTGGGTTTGTTCTTATGAACTATATTGTTCAACGTAATATATATGTAGTATTCATATGCCTTAACAAGTTATCTCTCAATCTGTTGGACACTGTGATAGGTATGCTTATAATATTACGGTGTCATAACTTAAAAATTAGCTTGCTAAACTTCTGAGCTTAAAATACTAGACTGAGGAGGTTAAAAATTTGCCCCAAGAACCTTCATCTTCCGTTTTTTCTGTAGGGTAGAAACAATTCTTAAGATTAAAAGTTTCCTATAGATTTTTAGTATTCACAACCAGACGTCTGCTGTTAATAGCTTGTGTAGATGACGAACTGATTTTGAAAGATTAGCTACTGCTCAATGTGAAGATCACGAGACTTAAAATAGCAGTAACGAAAGGGGATAGAGAAAAAATAAGCGAAAACCTTTTTCTTGCAGTTGAATAAGTTTGGAGAAATAAAAAAAAACCCCATGAAAGCCAATATAGGTTGTGTTGGTTGAACTTAAGTAGCAGGTCCTAAGGTGATTGTGGATGAATTCCCCAACTTGTACAAATGATCCATGGATCTTGAAATGTGACCATAGAACCAAATAAGATTTGGTGCACAACTGCACATATGTCTTAGGCCTAAACTGCAATTGGCGTGTAGCATAAGTAATCGCCAGTTTTAGAGATACCCGGGGAAGACCAACATCGCCTTTTGAATTCTTTTGCCGTTTGATGCAGATTATTAGGGATGTTGCTGGCATACCTGATGTTCTTACTAGGCTGGATCCACCCTCATCTACCATGGCAGAAACTAGCCCAGATTATGAGAGCTAGGGAGTCATATACATGTATAAGACCTGTCTCTTTGTTTTTTCTTTTTCTTTTTGGAAAATAAACTAAAAGGGCATAATTTAGCATTTCATATCTTGTTTTGTTTACTTCTCTCACTGTTATTTCAATGATGTTTCTATTCAATCTCTTTCTAATTTGTTTGTCAACGCTTGGTGACAAGGACAAGGAACTCATACTCAATTTGATGAGGCTCTAAATTGTCAGTGTCATGAAATTTCGGGACGGGTTTAGGATGGGGGAAATTAGGGTAACGTAGTTCCATAGCAATCATATAACTTCCCACTGAAGTCCTGTAACATTTTTGTAGTATTAGGTCACCTGCCACAAGTTCAAGAAAAAGCTTTTTCACTAATTTTGTCCGGATTGAGATTTAATTCTTATCTATGTTAACCAACGACATGCATTCTGTGTCATGTTAGTATGTTAGTATATTTAACGGTATTAAAATTTAAAATAATATTAATAAATTTAAAAAGTAAAAAAAATTAATTTATATAAATTATTGTATAAAGATTAAATATATATTTTATAACATAGATAAAAAATATAATTTAATCAAATATTTAAAGCATAATATCAAAAAATTCTAAAGTATTTAAAAAATTTTAAATAAATTTTTTTACTTTTATTACGTTTAATTAAATTTTTATATTTTAATTTTAAGTACAGTATCATATGATATGTTGACATATAATAATTAATGATAATATATATATTCTTATAATTAGAAACAGTGTGATTTTAAATTTTACTCTTTAGATAAGAGGATCATGTACTAACTAATGAATTAAATACGCACTTACATGCATCAATATTATATTAGTATCATATGAATATAAAATGATAAATGATATATTGATTAATGTTAATTAATAAAATATTAATTATAAAAATTTATTTAATTCGAAATAAAATAAAAAAATTAATTAAATGTAATAAAAAATAAAAATAAATTTAATTTTTTAAAAAAATTAATTTATGAACTTATTAGAGCATTATGTCAAAACTTAACTGTTCAATGATGATAAAAAATAAGTAGTTAAAGCATTTGGGCTAAGTAAATATTTATTAAGTCTACTAATTTTGAACAAAAGAACCTGGATCCGTCCTTTCATTTTCAAGGTCAGTCTCAGTCTCCATCCATGCTTGCTTTCAACTTTCAAGTTTCAAGTCATGTGGGCGTTTTTGGAACGATCCAGTTCACACTTGATCTTCATGATGCATAATGTTCCCGCAATTTGATTCAACAAATATTCGTCTCCGGAGCAAATTAATAAGTGTGAACACATTTGACGAAATGAAACAGCGTGCTTTGCTTGACTAACAAAAGTAAAAACTGGGTGCTGTGCTGTGCTGTGCTGTCATGTTGATTCCAGTCCCGCCGCTTCTCACTGCTTCCCTGTACGTCACTCGGTAAGACATACTTACTTTCAAGAGGTCGCATATTGTAAAATATTTTTCCTGGTTTGGCAGGTCGCCGCCCTGTTGGGTATTGGCTCTTCTAACCCTAAAAGTTATGGTGAGAAGCAGAAGAGGGGAAATCGCTGAACGCTAGCCGCTGGGAGTAAATTGTGGCCCTACTTAGTGGGATATTTGGTATTCATAAAATACTAACAAAAACATATGGCGGCGCACATTTCCATTTAAGCAACCCTTTTCTATATTATATATATTTATAAGGTTGCTTTCATGTTTTAAACTTTAATTAATTTGGACCCCATCTTGTTTTTTCTTTATAGGAGAGTAAAAGGTCAATATTTGAATTTTATCTTTGTATCATCCTAATTTGTTGGTTCTAATATTTTTTATCTTTATTTTTAATGAATTTAACCTTTGTATTTTTATCAAAACTCCAACAAAGGATGATTAGTAAGGATGTTAAAGTTTTTTTTTTTAATCTGGATGATTTGGCATTTTGGTAACAGTTTGACACGGTAAAGTGGGTTGAATTTTTTTGTTATGTGACACATATTAATAAAAAAGTATATTTTATTTCAATTAAATAATTAATGTTTTTTAACTTATAAAAAGTAAATTTTAGTATTTTTATTAAAAAAATAAAGTTTTTCATACTAATGTGTATCACATATATAGTAAAAAAAAAATTCAAGTTGACATGTCTGTAATAAAAAAAAAACCATATGGTTAAAAATAGTTGTAATATTTTAATATCGTTATCAATTATTTTGAAATTAATTTTTAATAAAAATATGGAAATAAGTTTGTTAAATTTGAGTTAACAGGACTAAAATGGTCTAATTAAGATAATATGAGGACCAAATTTTGAGTTAATCAAACAAGAAACCCTTTTATTTGTGATTCTCATAATCTTGTGCATCCCTTAACTTCAACCATTCGACAAATCACCTTCTAAAGACAAATATTTAGCAAGTTTATTTCTCTGTAAGGTTACAATTACAAGTAAATATTTCAATTATAATCAAATAATTTTCAAATATATCCCATTTTATGTCATTAAAAAATTATAAAGAAGTCCATTAATTACATAAATAGATAAAAAAAATTAGATTAAACTCACGTAAAATGAAACTTAAAAGTTTTAGGACCTCTTTATTATTGGTATTGAGACGAAGCTTGGTTGATGGCTGTAGGTCATGTTAGCAGCCACAATTCTTGGAACTGATTGGCCCGAGTTATTACGTGGAAAATCTAGCTTCCCAATTATAATGGTTTAGGGGTTGTTGTCATCCGTCCCATCTACGACTATGCTGCTATTTGTCTGTAAACATGGCAAGTGGCACACCTGGGTAGGGTAAGGTGAGCCTTATTTGTACTATGATCCAAAACAAGTGGCTTAGAGACAAAGCACATGATATGCTCTCAACAATCAATTTAAATTCAAAAATTGAAGTGGAAAATCATTGTATGATCTGTAATTTAAGAATTCTATTTATTTATTTTTTCACCACAATTTGTCCCTTGATTAATTAATTAGTCACACCACTCAAATCCGTCAGCATGGAGCAATGGAGGATATAGATTGGAGACCCCTGACTTTCGTAATCTCTGAATATGTCATCAAGATTACCCTAATCTCCTTTTGTCCTTTGATCTAAAAAGCCAAATATTTCTGCTCAGCTTCGACTTGGACGTTCTTGATATCAACACAATGATTTTAGTATATCATTTATCAACATCCAATTGCTATTCGACAAATAAAGTCCGACCCAATTGTTAATTCTTTTAAATAAAAAGAAGAAAAAAACAATAATTATCGAAAATTAGTTACTATAATTTAACTTATTGAACTCGTGGATTGGGTAAAAATCTTAAGTTTTGATATTTGATGCTGATTCCATGTTGTCACCCTCATCTAAGGCTAAAATGAGCAATTAAAGTGGCTGAAGAGGCAAGGGCTGTTTTAATTAATTTTCTTCTTAAAACAATATTAGGGCTAGGGTAATTTGGCAAAGAGATTATCGTAGTGAGCCATATATAGTTGCAGAGCCGGTAGTTCAGACCTCAATTTTCATCCTGCTTAGCTTTCCAATTTTCTATTAGGCAAATTAGTCGGTTCTACGTATACCGCCCAAAGTAAATTAATAATGCAATTTGCTAATAAAGTTTACCAAAAATGTTGACTTAATATATACAAGGTGCCTAAAGTCAAATTAGTACCAATGCTAACCTCTTTGGTTCCAATGTTGGGTTTCTTTTAGCTTAGCTTAAACATGACTATAACAGAATTAATTAGTACTTCATTGGTTGCATTTTCCTCTGTGATTTCTATCTTAAAAATGAAATCCTGTCGCTGTTAAGGAAGTAATTACAGAGTTTTACAACCATGTTCTCTTTGTGTCCAGCACATGTTCTCTGGATGATCAATCTCACCACAAAGGAGGAAAGAACAAAAACTAAGATCTGCCTTCTTTGTCAGACTTACTTACTAAACACTACCAACTGTTTGATTCTTGTGATATTACTAAAAGAAAAGATTCATCAGGTTTTGTCCTCTTTTTCCATCTTGGGGAGCTAGAATTCATCCATTATTCCTCTCTTATAAGATTACTTAAAGTAGATTCAATAGGGGTAAAGTTGATTTGTGAATGATCTTGAATTCATGTGATTTACAAGTGATCTCTCATTCACATTAATTGTAAATGTACATTAATCCTTGTTGAGTAAAATTAACACATGTTATCCTAATTTGGGACTCGAGGGATTGAACAGTTTATCCTATGCTATAAAAAATTAAAACTAACTTTTTTCGATCATTAAAAATTAAAACTTAGATTAAATATTATTTAATGAAAACCTAGCTTTACTAGTGCTCAAATGGTTTAAAAAAGGGGTGAAATTACATCCATTAACCATTATATAAGTTGCCAATATACAAAGTTAAAGAAAGAAATAAAAAAAAAATGTATGAAAAGCTAGGTTTTCTGAAATTTGTGAAGCATATACATGAGATATGCACCAAGTGCTTGCTAACATCAGACAAGTGGGAGGCGACTTGAAGGGATAAAATCGTTTGCTATATTAATTATCATAAAATTAATAAAGAGAGTCTTGCAAGAAAAGTAAGACATGTATCGAATCAAATAGCATGATATAGTTTTGCACGTTCATGTTTGGTCTGCCAAACGCTCTCCTTCCCAAGGTTAAGAAGAAAGGCCCCATTCTAGATAAGACAAACAGGCATTGCACTTCCAAATGAAAACAGACAAAGTCCTAGAATTTTTTAATTTTAAGAAAAGAATTAATTGAAGATGTTTTCAGTTGCTTCTCTTGCATCCAAATGGGGCATAAATTAAAAGAAAGTTTGATAAGAAAGAACAAAATATCATTGCAAAAGTGTAGAAATCTCAAAGTCACATGAAATCAAGTTAATCTCTTATATTTACATCAGAGATAATATGATTAGAGAGAGGGATCAGAGAGAGAAACAGATGCATAGAATTCAGTTAAAACTATATCTAAAACCCCCCCAACCCAAAAACAACATCTTCAATATGATTAAACATTCAATAAAATTAAAAGGAGAGAAAAAAAATCCCAAGTAAAGAATCAATTTAAGCAAGTTGAGCTTCTTCAAATCCATGCATGTGAGAAGCATCCAAAGGAAGCAAAGGGAATTCACCAAGCTCTTGAATGAATCCATCCAAATCTCCAAAACCACTTAAGAAACCACCTGAATTCTCACCATACCACATACCTTCTTCTTCCTTAACCCTTTCCCTTGTCTCCAAGCCAGCAAGAAACCCAGTTCTCAGCTCCATTTTCTTGGCCACAGCTGCTGCCACTGGCTTGTCACAGAAACTAGTGATCCTTGGCTCTTGATGATCTCTTCTGCCAATTCTTGCTTTCTTTTTGCAACCCTTTTCTTGAGCTGGTTTCCCTGTGAGCCTTTGCACCAGTTCTCTGAAGTTTGCTACGTCGGTCTTGATGATCTCTGGTGCAAATATGTGAATTATGCGTATCTTTGGCTTTGCCTTTGATATTGTTTGTGAATCCTTGTGAATGGACAGTGCTGATGGTGTTGAAGGAGGCATTCTGGTTTGATTCCTGATCATGATATTCTCCATGGACAAATGTCTGAGAGAAAGGAGGAAAGAGAAAGAGGTGGGGGAGTTGGTGTATTTGTTTAGAGAAATGAAAGGGGGAATGCTTATATAGGAGAAGAAAGTGATAGGAAAGATATTGTTTAAAGGTGAAACATTAAAAAATTATAAAAAAAGGAAAAAAGAAATAAAGGAAAGCTGTCTGTTGGGAGTAAGGACTGGATGAATCCTTGTCTGACAAAATGCAAGAGATAGACAACTTCAATGGTCCCCAATTCCCCAAATTGGATTAGCTTATAACAAGTATTATTTTTTTTCAAGTGTGTCAAAATATGTATTTTTCTCACATCTACTTGCAATGACCAAACCATCCTCTCTGATACCATTTTGAGCATTTATTATGTATAGGCTTTATTTAATGTTACAAATGGTGGTTTCCTATTCTTAAAGAGATTATATATATATATATATATATATATATCCAATGAGAATTAATTAACTCTTCATATATTTTAAGTAGGAATGGACTCTTCAAATATCATGTAAATTAGATGCATGGAACCCTTTGGAAGAACCATATGTGTATGTGACTCATTTTCCGGTCACTGGAGCTTCCTTCAATGGTACCAATGACCTGAGTTTAGGGTACAAATCTTAAATTCAAATTATAATGTATTCCATTAGACAAAAACAAAAGTAATATGTAAAACACATTTTTCACTTGTAAAATGAAGGCACTTTGAAATAATAACCCCAAAACCTAGCTAAATTCAAGAGTAAAAAACCTTTCATTAATTCCCATGAAAGAGCAAAAATTATATACATGTTGTGGGACATAACATTGTTTTTTTAAAAAAAAATAAAAATAAAACACCAAAACTGACCTCAACATTGGGAAAGGAAGGGCGTTTTGGTAATTAAAGAGAAAGAATATCTTACTTTATTATTATTATTATTATTATTTTTACCATGTGATGAACCCACAAATTTACTACTTACACATGTATCCGCGTAGTTGGAATAAAAACCAATGTCATGGCTTGCATAAACGACAGCCGTACATATCCGCGTCTCCAGATTCATGACAATAAAAAGATTTATACTATCCATTCTCAAATTGCTACTCCCCTTCGTTTTTTCCCTTTTTCAATCTTCGTGCCTCCCAATGTTTTGGTAATTATGAAAATGCCCTCCATCATCTTTAGATTCTTCAATTTTGATCCATTTCTGACCTGATTGATCAAACTTTGAATTTAGAATGCAATTATTCACCCCATTAACATGTTGGGAAAAAAGAAAGAAAGTAAAACTTTTTTAAAAAATTTAGAAAATGTATAATGAATGATTGTTGGTAGTTTGGGCACATAATTAACAATATCAATCATTTAGCAAAAGAATTAATTACTAACAACATCAATCATTGGGTATTGTATATGCTTCCAACTATATTTTAAGCAAGTTGACCACAAACTTTGGCTATGTTAAAAAATGGATCATTTTCATTATCCATTCTATGCTCTCTCCCCTCTGTCTCTCTGTTTTTTTTTTTGGTTTAATTTTTCCTTTGATTTTGGATTTATGGGCCTATACTCATTAATTGTCAAGTTGATTTAAATATATACTGAGTGCCAAAAGAAATATGATCAAATCGCTTATAGAAAAATTATAATTGAATATATAAATAATGTTGCAATCAGCATTAGCTCAAGTATTTTGGAGGGGTAGAGAATTTATAAGCATGCCGAATTTGGATTAGAATATGTACCGTCAACTTTTCACAAGATTTTCATGACTTAAAAAAAGTTCAATTATTTTTAAATCGGGACCTTTTGAATTTGTTCCAAGTTTATCTATCCATCAATATATCGTTAAAATTTGGATGAAATTTAACACATGTATGTCCACCAAAATGCCACATGAAATTTTTTAACTAAATTTTTAGAAATGCAAAAGATTAGAAACAAAAAACTCGAGTTTTTTGAGTCACGAATGAAAATAAAACATTACAATTAAAAGACTAATGAAATTCACTCATAAAAGTGAAAGAAAAAGAATACGTCAAACCTTAGGAGCTTTGGGTTATATATATTGGAAAGGGGTTAATTAAAATAGTGTCAAAACCTAAGTGTGCAAAAGTGTAAATACAAAGAAATATCCCAAAGACAGAGGCAGAAGATTCCCGAAATGTCACACATACCTGACTGATATGAGTTAGTAAAATGATGTTTTTGTAGCATGGTGTTTACCTCTTCAAAGTAGAGGGCTGGCAAAGACATAGGAAATTACCTTATATCTGAAACTTGTTTTTGGTTATTTTAATTCTTTAATAATTTGTAGATGAAGCTCGTACGGATACTTACAGTGGTGTATATATCTCACTTTGCTATATATATTATAATTCATTTGCATCTATGCTAATGAGAAAAACCAAAGCCGGTTTCAATATTCCCTACTCACTCATGGAGCTTTCTGACCCTAACAATTATATTCTCCAAGACTAGAGCGAAACCCAAGCTTCTTAAAACCCTAACAACTAGTTAGCTAGCATTAGGGTTTTTGGCATTTTCTTTGTTTTTCGTTTCTTTCCTTTTGTTTTGTCCCAAGCTACAAGCCCAGTACAGCAAATCATGTTCTATATCTATCTATATATATATATATATATATATATAAGTTTTTTTATGCCATTATTATCTACAATTTCAGAAAGCAAAGAAAAAAAAATCTTAAACCGTCTTTAATGATTTTGTAATGGTATGATTTCATTAAAACTCTGAGTAGATTACTCTTTTAGCAAAAGAAGAAACAAAAAATAAATGACAAATGGAAAAAACATGAAATAAATGGAACTTAAGTAATCTTAATTAAGTGAAGCCTTTTTATATAATGATGGATTTATTATGGGCAAACAAATGAGTGCCAAGAAAGTTAAGAGAGCACGAAATTGTAGTAACTTCAGACAGCAAAGCATCATATTTAATGCCAAATGTATAGAGAGGTTGCATTTGCTTCACCCTTTTTACAAGGAGAGGTAATGTCAAACAAGGCAAAGGCAGTCACATCATTGAGAGAATAGCAAACTGGCAAAACCTAGGTAACCTATTACAGTCAATAGAAATAGATGCCACCCTTTATCATATTCTTTATCCTTTCCATCAACCATTAGTTTTTCATTTATTTTTTCTCGAAATATTATTGAAACTTGCAGGCACATATGAATCAAAACCTATTGCTTTTCAATATATTTTTTTAAAAAAAAAAGAAAGGGGAAAAAGAGACTAATAGTAATGGGTCTAAGATCACAGGAAATGCAAGAGTGGAGAGCATGATAGCCGGCAGGGACGATTTGTATCACATCTTGTACCCTTACTTTGTACCAACATTTTGGAAATTGTACCATATCAGAAACAGAGCAAATGTACAGAGAGAAAAGAAAAGAGTCATAATGGCCGTTGAATGTGCACGTGAAGACGGAGATACGATGAGATCTGAGGGCCCGAGGGGTTTGCGTCACCAATTGGGGAACAGCAGTGCACACGAGTCTCGTGCCGGCTGGGCCGGACCAACCCTTCAGATACGCATTGTCCTCTCATCGCCACGTGTAAGTTTTCGGATTTTGCCCAAAACTAAAAACAACAAAAACCGTGTGACTCAGGGCCCACCCGTTGACGTGGTTCCAAGTCCCTCGTTCACCTTAGCTGGATTCTACTTCCTTTTACTAACGTGCTCGCCTTAGGTTTAGATTTTGATTTTTAGAACAAAGTTAACAACAGCCCACTAACAAGCGGCCATGTGTTGCTACCTTGCAACATGTTCTTTTCTTCTCCTTTTTATTTTATTTACCCAGTAATCAAATTTCAATTGAGAAATATTAGCTGCAACCCAAATGCTTTCTTTTATTTGCTAAACTAATCAAATTATTAAAAAAATTATTATCTCATTAGAAAATTAGGAAGTTGATTATTTGTCCATTACTTTGTGTTAGTTACTTAGAATAATATGTATACCATACCCTACAAAAGTCATATATAAAATATTAAAAGTTAATGAGAGGTTACATTTATTTCAAATCAAAAACCAATTATTATTTGAATGTATCTTAGTTTCTTAACCTTGGAATTATCCCCCTGTTCGTAATACAACCATCTCATTACATCATTGGTAAATTGATTATTGCTAACTTATTGACTTAGCAATACAATCTAGAGTTGATTAATTCATTGTTACTAATTATATAAGATTTGACTGTCATAGGAAGATGGTACATGCCTGCATCATGTATGATAGATTTTTATCCATCAATTATAAGACTATGGTAAAATGAATAGGATTGTTTAATAAAATAAGTCCTTTTCCCATTATATGTATCAATGTAAAGATAATGAATTTACTTTGTGGACAGGTACATAATCTGTCTTTGAACTATCATCCTGTATCCACATTTCACATCATGATAAACAAATAAAGAAGAATTCTTTCTTGTTTCCTATAGTTCAATAGGTTTGTATACTTCTTCAAAGCTCGAGATACCTGTCTACCTCATAGTCATAGGCAGATAGACTAAGTTAATAACTTGACTTGGCTTTTATTGAGACAGGTGTGGTTGATATTTTTACTATTTTTATTTTGTTATTAATTTATTTGTTACTTTTTATCATTTTTATAAATAAATAAATAAATAAATAAATAAAATCACCCAAATGAAACTTACATAAATAAATAAATAGATGAGATCTTTGTCGGTACTTTCCACCAAGAAATTGTCTCTGTGTAGATGTCAATAAGATTTTGCTTCTATAATAAGGAGAAGATTGTGATGTGTGAAATCATTAGTTTTCAAGTTCAAATTTTGATTTTCATGGTTTTGGTTTTATTTTATATTAGATTTTTATCAATGAGATGAAGGGATTCTTAAAAGTTAATCATAGAAAAATGTTTTAATGTGTGATGAAAAATAAACTTGTTTTCTCTCAAAAAATGTAATTATTTTTATAAATAAGTATTTTCCTTTTTCAAAATAATTAATTTTTACAAACTCAAAAGTTTATATTCTATTATAATTTTTGTTTTCTCAGCATAGTCATTATCATTTC